TCTAAATAGATCTGAGAAGAACTCCATATGAATAAACGAAAGGATAATTTTAACTTGCTGTTTTGGGTTTTTTCCCCTGAGAAAGTGGAAAACAGCATGAAACAGGAAGTCTAATTACAGAGTGTCCAAAAAGAGTTGTGGTGTTGAGGAAGGAGAAAGGTCTCCAGACAGTGGGGGGTATGAGTATGTCTTTGCGTATCGGCGTTTTCCATCAGCTCAGACATTGAACTTTTTCCATTTCATCTTTGTACACATTCAAAATAGACAGACTTTTTAACAGGATTTTTCCAGAGAGGAATGTGTGTTTCAGAGAGGAAGTAGAAAATGTAATTTTTTCTTTTATTTTTAGACATTTTAAGATGCCTGAGGACCATTGCATTGAGTTAACATTTCATGACAAGTGAACAATTTGAACCAGCAGCGTTCACGGCCAGCCATGTCAGAACACGGACTCTGGGCCTGGTCCTCAGCTGTAGCTTACACTGGTAGCATAAATGATTGGTAATATTGTAGAGTTGGTGCAGAAGAAGACGTCTGCCAAGACGTCAAGAGTCTGCCATTTTCTCTTCAAGGAAAATGTTCTTTATTGAAACAGGTCATCAATAGGCAAACATAACACGATCAGGGTGGACACTTACAACACCCTAGTTTAACACCAAAGGACAGGGATGCGGGAAGTGGGGATGCTAGGGTGCTGCAGCACCCTGTGATTTCAGGACTGCCACTGTTAAAATTAACAGTAATAATCAAATGTTCTGAACTTTATAATAATTTGAGTGTAGTACAGACCCAGGTGTGCTTGCATTAGAGCAGAGTTTGTAATTTTATTTTTTCCAAACCTGCAGCAGCCCTGCTTTGTTTAAGTGAACACCGTTTTCAGTACAGTGACCCAAAAAATGGCTGCTTTAGGGGCTCGTTGCTCAAACAAACGCAGGTTGAGGTTTGAAGAGAGAAGGTCTATGCAGAGTTACAGGCCAATTCTGAACCCTAAAGCAGCTTTATATTGTTTTATATACTTGAAAATAATCATCTATCGTTATAATAATGTTTTATCAACCATTATATCTGCCGGTCTATGTGTGTTTCTGTGTTAAATCGCACTGAGTACCTGTGGGTGTGACACAGGATTAACGCACCGTATATCATACATCTAATTGGTCGCTGCTCAGCTCAATTGTATGAAGTTCATCCAGAACGAGAGAGCAAAGAGACAATGTGCATCAGCGATTTGATGTGTAAGTTAGGCTTTATTTAAATACTGTTATCTCTGGCCTCTTTGCAGCACTAACTAACCAACTACCCACCCACCTACCTACCTACCCACCTGCCTATTTACATACATGCCTACCTACCTACCTACCTACCTACATACCTAACTAACTAAGGCAAATCATTTTGTGTGACATAATCAGTCACTTCACATATACGCTGCATGACATTTCAGCAACCCCAACACCTTCCCACGTCCCTGACAAAGGACACAGCATTCTGGGAGAGGCCCACAGCATTCTGGGAGTCCTCACATGCTCCTCTCCGCAATATTTCCAAACTATATGGGATAAACTATATAATGTATGGGATACATTTTTTGCCCAGAAGAGATTCTGTGTGCTTACATTAGGGGTGCAGGAAAAAATGCATCGCGATGCGGACGTGAACGATTCTGAATCGATTCACAAATGTCAAAAATCGATTTTCTAAATATTTAATTTATAACGTAATGTTGACGGAACGCAAAAGGCGGAACTTGGAAGTGCGGAAGTGCAGCGACCGGACAGTCTGTGGCGGCACATAACAAAAACACAAGTGGAAGAGCGAGAAATCCGACCGGCTCCCTCTGCATTAAAGCCAGGTTAGATCAGGAGTCACAACCCAAAAGATAAGAAGAGCCATTTTGTCCTTTCAACAAAAATCAGATTACCTTGGCAGCCACAACATTTAATGTCCAGTATGTCTCAGTATGTGCTGATGTCCTAGTTTAGGCTAAACAGTATAAACGAAAACGCAGATTTACTCCGCTCTGCTTTAAGCTTTAGCTATAGCCGCTTTCTTCCCATCTCCGCCAGAAAACTTTTCCTCAGAAGTAGATCAGTTAAAAGTCTCTCAACATTCAACTGTTTTACGAGGCTGAAGTCACTTCTTATTCTCCAGCTTCTTGTTCAAATTTACCCGTTCCACCTTAAATTCTAACTGAGGCACCGAATGTAAATGCTGCACCATTTAAGGTGGAACGGGAGAATTCGAAAGAGAAGCTGACTTCAGCTTTGCCACTTTTTAGTGTGACAGTCTCTGTTTGCAGATTTAATGTACCAGGAAACCAACTGCAGTGCTTATAAATGCAAATAACGTATCGCTGCTATGTGACCTGCAGTCTGCACGCCGGTTCTCAGTCATTGCGAAACAGGGCTTTCGCGCTATGTTGCACATGTCCCGTCTCAAAGATACTTTACTGACACAGCGATCCCCCAACTCTCTACAACGAGACCAAAACCGAAGTTATAAAATCACTAAAGAAAATGGGTAGAATAGCTGTAACATGGTCATCCATCACCACTGGATCTTATTTCACCGTAACTGCGCATTTTATCACAGATGAGTAGCAGCAGCTTCTTGTGCTCCAAACAAGAGCACTGAATGAGAGCCTTCTAGTTCACTTGCCACATCACTTCCATTTGTTTTATTAAAAAAGATATTGGAAGTAAATTCATTATGGATCCTTACAAATACTTTGCTTTAAAAGTACCAAGTCACTTTAAATAACACCGAGTCACTTAGTCACTTTAAAATGTATATTGTCTCTATATTGTGTGTATATTTTATGTATATTTTGTGTATATTTAATATTTAATATATTTCAGTTGTTTTTTCTTGTATTTTTATTTTTACTTATTTACTTTCTGTAGAGTGATTAGCTGAGCCTCACCACAAGCATTTCGATGTGTAAATGTCCTGACATGTTGTGCAAATGACAAATAAACTTGAAACTTGAACTCGAAACTTGAGCTCACACAGTGAGAAAATATAAATGCTATATAGTAAAAAAATATGCATCGAGATGCATCGATAATCGGTTAATAATCGCATCGCAGCCCTCTGAATCGTAATCGAATCAAATTGTGAGGTGCCTAGAGATTCCCACCCCTAGCTTACATGTTTGCATTGTAAGAAATAAATAAGTCAAAACAGTGCAAAAAGTTTTCAAATGCTGAAGAAAAATAATAAATTTCTTAAGAAAATAGTTAAATATTTGAAAAGGATTAACTGATTCAAATAAAAGAAAAGAATAAGAATAAACATTCAAAAGGTTAAAACATATCCTGCCCTCAACACTCAGAAAACCCTTTCTTCGTAACTCAAAAAACCTGTTGATCTATTAAACAGCCTTGCTCTCTTCTTTCGTCATGAGCCTCACTAACTGCTTGACTGACTGTGTCACCAGAAATAACCCATTTTATGCAAATTTCTTTGACCATCGGATGATAGTCTTAGCCGGTAACCTTTTAAGCATTTGCCAGTTTGGATGTAGGCTAGGGTGATTATCTAATCCAAGCTGACGCATGTTCCAATGCCTATCTACTGTTTATCCAAAAAGAAACCATTTTACCTGTGTTTTTATGATCAGTCGGTTAATCCAGCAGCTCAAATCAGGCCTCGGCTCCCTCAAGGCTATGTCACACACCATGACAAGCAAAAATAAGTTAACACATCCTCTACAGAGAACAAACAAAGAAAGCCTTTTTCTGCAAATTTGAATGTACAGTTTCTGTTTATTTGCTTAGGTGAGCATATTGGAAAAAATAAAACATTAAATGTCGATATAAAATTTGTCCTTTCTGTGTGGAGTTTGCATATTCTCTCTGTGTCTGTGTGGATTTCTCCTGGTGCTCCAGATTCTTCCCACAGTCCAAAGACATGCAGTCAGGTCAGCTGGAGATGCTAAATTGCCCCTAGGTGTGAGTGTGAGTGTGATTGTATATGCCTGTGTGTCTGCCCTGCGATGGACTGGCATCCTGTCCAGGGTGTATCCTGCCTTCCGCCCAGTGACAACTAAGATGCTCCAGCACCACCTGTGACCCAGAAGGATAAGCGGCTTAGATAATGTGTGTGTGTGTCTGTGTGTGTGTGTGTGTGTGTGTGTGTGTGTGTGTGTGTGTGTATAAAGTTTGCCATGATTTTTTAATTATCCTGTGATGTAAGTGTTTTTTCATCGTACTGCTTCCTACTAATTGTGATGCTTGTCATGCATCGAAAATGTCTTGAGGTATCATAATGTTATATTTGTGCCATATCGCCCACCCCTAATGCAAGTTACTTCTCAAATGAATCTCATTGCGTTAACAGATGTTACCTTTTTGGAGATGCAAGGTTTTTCTTATGCTTGTCACGGTATGTGATTTGAGTGCAACAGTAAAATCACAGACTTACTGCTCTCACAGTGGGGTTTGACGCCAGCTCTGTTGACACTGATTAGGAGTTCCCAGGTGGTCCACTTTGGAAAAGTACCCAGACATGAGCTCTTAAGGCTGTTATTTTATATTCAACAATGCCACATGTCAAAGACAGATAAATGGTGGTTAAAAAGGGGGTTATGATTTTTGCTGTTTTTGAAGCTCTTTTGCAGTGTTTCCGGACGAGTACCGCTATGAAAGAAAGCACTATCACACTGATTGTCGGGCTTTCAGTAACCAGATCATGTTTGGTAGGGTCAATAGGAATCTAAGGATTCAGGTCTTATTCAAAGTGGCATGCCATGAATGACATTTAGTGTTAATTGATACCCAGGTGGTAGTGGTTTATAGTCTGGACACAAAACTCCCTTTGTGTGGCTGAATGCCTCAGGTTTATTTTGTTTACTCTTTCAATAGATTGTTATACCACAGAATGGAGGGCTTGCTCAGAAGGAATTTAGTGGCTTGATTTGGGCTCAGTAAACAAAAAGATCGAGCTCCAGGTGGTGGAATTGATTAATAGATTTGTGTTCTTTCTCTTGTTCTTCACAGGCTTTAAACAGAGGGATCGCAACTGTCAAAAAGGATGCAGTGGAGATGCTGGCCAGTTATGGCCTGGCCTATTCCCTGATGAAGTTTTTCACTGGGCCTATGAGCGACTTCAAGAATGTGGGGCTGGTGTTCGTGAACAGCAAACGCGACCGAACCAAGGCAGTGCTCTGTATGGTTGCTGCCGGAACTGTAGCCATTATTTTCCACACTCTAATAGGTCAGTTGTGAGATTTATTTCTCTCTTTCTGACACCTTCCATCAATCTTCCTCCCTCCCACCCTGCCCTACACTATTGATTTCACATTATATCTATTTTTGCTCTTTAGATATCCACACTTTAAATGAGCAATGAGAAAGTATTTTATATTGTTGTAAGAAAACAAAAATACTCAAGTTTTAGCATATTGTTGTTCTGTGCAACTAGCATAAGGGGTTAGCCATTAGACTGATAAGAGATTTATCTTTGTGTTTTAGATGCATGCAGTTTAACATATTACCAGTTCACCCACTGAATTGTAAAAAGAAATGTTTTTGTTTGAAATGTTTCCATATACAGTACTGTGCAAAAGTCAGAGAGCATTCATTTATGTAATTTACACTCAAAACAGCCATTAAGTTAAAGTTATTCATTTTTAGTGTCAAACAAAAGCTAAATATAGATATTACCAACAAAATATCAGTTTTTTTCAGTATTTAGTGTGGCCACCCTTTGCATTTTATAACAGCTTCCAATTCTTTTTGAGAGATTTCTTTCAGTTTTTCAAAGATATTTGCAGGGATATTTTTCCACACCTACAAAGTTCAGTCTTAGAAGTTGGTTGTATTTTCTACTTCTGACAATCTCAAATAATCCCAAACTCACTTAGCGATGTTGAGGTCTGATACACAGATTTTTCAAATACCTTCTAGTAAACAAATGCTAACATGATCCAAGAGAATCCAAATTTTGTTACCTTGTCTAAAAATGTATATGCTTTTATTAGGGACCATTTTCACTCTCTCCTCCTTGACATTGTGAATCCATTTGACCTCAGCTATTGTGCCAGATGTGCTCGGGGTTGTAATTTTCCTCTGTACACAAACCTTGGTGATAATGACTCCACAGGAACACCGTGTCCAGCTTAAGGTTCCATCTGCTGTGTTGACGCTAGGAGTTTTGTTCAGGTTGCTGTACACATGCTTACTGTGTTCTTGGATGGATGGGTTCCTGCCAAGCTGTTGTCACTTTCTCATAAATAGACACCGACATGGAGAAATGGCGTCATTTACACACTGTTATTATAGAGTCATTAAGCAGTTGGTGCAAAGTGCTACTGTCCTCCTACTTGGTGCACCAAAACAATTTTATTGGTCTCACTCGTATTTACCAAATTACAGAAAGTTGGTGTAGCAGAGGTCAAAAATAGGTGAAGTTTTTACAAGGCTTAAGATGGCAACTGTGTCTTAAAATATGAGATGATGTTGATGATAGGATGAAAGCCCACATTGTCATAACTTGGCCGTGCACTTTCCTCCTGGCATCCACATCCTGACCGCATCTACCCAAGGTCATTTTCACCCTGAAAAGTGTGGTAAAAAAAAAAAGGCTCAGCACTGTGCAGTACTGCATTAGCAGTAGTGAGTCAGAGGAGAACATGAACTACACACAGTTTCCAACTGAGGGCCTGATCTGCTAAGCCTTTTGTGCCAGTTTCAGGTGTGAATTCACCATACTCTGCCTGCATACAAGCCTAAAGGTGTAGTTTAATGGCTGAAAGAATATTTGCCAGTAACAATATTTAAATTTTCAGGTTCAGATGTCTGAAAAGAAGCATTTCAAAGTATGCCTTGTTGCAGCCACAGTGTGCTCGCAGTCTGCATTGCTGATTCACAAATAAATAAAATAAAGAAACAAAGTCTGGTCTCCTAGATATCAGCAGGGTTACACGCGATCTGTCCCTGAAAGTGTTGAGTTCTAAACTCCAGGTGCTGTCGGCAGTGCAAAGATTTTAGTGAAGGAATAGATAAAAACTCTGTCTCAGTTTGACTGGTGAGATTTAATTTAAACTAATAAATCATGGATTATAAATCATGGGTTATTAGATTTTATTACGATATCTTTAGCTCATGCATTAACTCTATATGATATATTCACTGTTTTTTATATTAGAAATATATATATTTAAAAAAAATATGTACACAGTAATGTTGGAATGTTAACAAGTATAGCCGAGTATTTTAACAAGTATAGCCAAGCATTTTTACATTTTTTTCTAGTTGATAATAGCCCAAGGCAAAAATTAGTGTTAATTAATTTTATAATCAATTGAGCCCTTGCAAAGAAAAACAATATATTTAACAATATATATATAAGAAATCATATAAGCATGGAATGCATTGTTTAATGCCCTGTATTAAAATAAAAATGTAAATAAATGTAAATAAAGCATAATTTGGCATTTTAATGTAGGAATATTGCCACCTTCAAATGCATTTTATTTTCATCTTTAATGCAGTTTTACATGTCTGAATGTAACATTGTTACTTTTGCCGTCCTTTTTCCTGCTCTCTCAGCCTACACAGACCTGGGCTACTACATCATCAACAAGCTTCATCATGTGGACGAGTCAGTTGGCAGTAGGACCAGGAAGGCTTTTCTCTACCTGGCTGCGTTTCCCCTGCTGGATGCCATGGTGAGCATATCTCTCATCAAACACATTGAATTCTCACACTGCCTGTGTCCACTCCGCTAGCTGTCGGATCTGGCTTGGCTTCTGTGGACAGATGGAGTGTGTGAGCGCATTTGCATTTGGGAGAAAGTGAGTGTGCGTGCGTCTGTGTGCGCATGCCTGTGTGGGTGTACGCTCTTCCTGTAATGCCTGTCTTCACCGCCTGTTCAACTCTGGACGACTATCAGTCTCCCTGTGAGGATGTCACTCCACACTGTGCAGTTCGGTGTCACTTCCAAGTGCCACAGTGCATCCATAAAGCATTTGAGCAGCAGGTCAAGATTACACTTCGGTATTAAATCTAGAGGATCTTGTTTAGAGGCCAGTGTAATTACCCGTGACTGTTGCCTCACATTATCTGAGCTTGTGTGCATGTGTGTGTGTGTGTGTGTGTGTGTGTGTGTGTGTGTGTATTCCTAGGCTTGGACCCATGCTGGAATCCTATTAAAGCACAAGTACAGCTTCCTCGTTGGCTGTGCCTCTATCTCTGATGTGGTAGCTCAGGTAAGGCACATGGCAGCTTGTGAAGACATGAACATACCAAGCATTTATCTGATTTCCAAGTGCTGTGACTTGCCATACATAGCCTATATTAATTTAATGGACAGGGAGGCACTATGCATAAATCAGAGACCATCCTTTATTTATTTAGTTTTCAGTCAAAGCAGCCATTAAATCCAGCTTATTCATTTTTCAGTATCAGAAGACACAAAAGTATGTAGAAGTCTCAACAATTGAATATAATATAATTTCTTTGGTATTTATTGTATCCAAATTTGCCTTTTGTACAACTTGATAGTGACAGCTTTGCTGGTCTGCCAGTTCTTGCTCACTTGTTAGGAGTCCCATTTTCTCCGTATGTTTTAATCTTGTGCAAGTGGATTATCTTATATCTAATGTCCTCAGGAATGTATCCTGAAAAATAAATAACTTTTATTTAATTGCTGTTTTGACTGGAAATTAAACAAATGGAGGGTGGTCTCTGACTTTTGCACTGTACTGTACATTGGCTGAATATAAACAATGAAGCAAGCACAGTAATGTAAATGGGCTGATTGTGGGTGCTTCTTGTTTTTTATTGATAATGTAATTGGTTTCATTGGTTTCATTTTAATAATGGATAAATAAAGCAAGAGTACTTGTATTAATCACCGTTGAAGTAATTCTATCTAACATTGGGCTAAGTATCTCTCTCTCTCTCTCTCTCTCTCTTTCTAGATTGTTTTTGTGGCAATCCTGCTGCACAGTCATCTGGAGTGCGTGGAACCTTTGTTGATTCCCATCCTGTCTCTGTACATGGGAGCTCTAGTACGTTTCACCATTGTGGGTCTGGGCTACTACCGAAACATTCATGACAACATCCCAGACTCTAGTGGCCCTGAGGTGGGGGTACGTACTGCTTGACCTTATTGCTCCCAGTACACTAATTAAAAGGACTATACGCTACTTTTTACAAACAAGTCCAGATACAATTTTTTTACATGACCGTTTTCCAACCTCTCTTTATAACTTTAGAATTAAGCAGGCTGTTTTGTAGCGGTGCTTATGTTAGTTTCTTAGGATCTTAGTTTCCATATATTGACTGTAAGGACTTGTAGGTGAACAGTACATTTTGAAACTTTAACAATCTCTACATTGTACAGTCTTTTGTTTTCCATGATATGGGCCCTTTGATGTGATAACACAATAGCTCAGTGTTACCTAATGCAAAGTGACTGTTGCAGTAGTTTCTCGGGCTCAACTGTGAGGACCCCATGCTCTGCACATTTTTGTACTGTACATAATCACTAATGCACCTGATTAAGCTCATCATCTTGGTCAGATGTTTTGGAGCAGGGAAAGCACAACAATAAGCATGTGACTTATATGAGCACAGGTGGGAACCACTGCAGTAGCATCTGATTTCCACCTGATTTTGTAAATTGCTGAAAGTGTCATTACAAAGCCTGAAGCAAGTGTTTCCGCAGGGTTACTGCGTTAGTCGTGGAAAGAGGAAATTGAGCCACATTACTAATCTTGGTCATTTTTAACCTTCTTTTCATCACTGTCCTTCTCCATTCCTCTATTGCTGACTCACTCACTGTGTGTGTGTTGGCTTTAGGGTGATGCCACCATTAAAAAGATGCTGAATTTCTGGTGGCCCCTGGCCCTTATCCTGGCCACACAGCGCATCAGCAGACCCATCGTCAACCTGTTTGTGTCCCGTGACCTGAAAGGGAGCTCCACTGAGGTCAGTGAATTCACAACCACAAGCGCGTGCACATAAACCACGGCTGTGCAAACATTACACAGCGCTCCTTATGAGTGTGCATTATCTCAGTAAATCAGTTCTGTGAATGTTCTTTTATCATGAAAGCTTGCTGTGTTAATACCTAACAGTCACCTTAACTCAACCCCTTGCATCTCTGTTTATTTGCCTGAGATATTTTTAATCAGCACTTGTTCATATTTGCACATTACACACCCAAGATTATATCTCTTGTATTTAGAGCCAAAAATATACAGAGAAAACTGAGCCAAAACGTGTCCGGAAACTCTACTGTGATTGTCATAGGAATAAAACTGATTCCACACTCTGTTCTCTTGCATGGCCGCTTTAAGATTTATAGAGCATTTTGAGCACAAGCAGACTACAGATGCAGCGTGCCGGTGCTTAAAGCAATGGTTTAGCGGAAAATCAAATTAACACAGTTTTTAGTTGAACAGCCAAGACATGTTTGGTGTCTTTTTGAGAGTTTTGCTTCTGTAGTTTTGCACTGGAGCTATGAGGCTAATGTTGCCTAAAATCTACAATTTTGTACAGGCAGGGTGGCTGCTACTGCTGTTTAGCTGAGTGATGGACTTTTGTCCATTTTTATAGGTAACAGTTTGTCATACAGTACCAGAAATCACAAAAGTAAGTCTATTTAAGATTACTTAACAACTCAACACAGGTTGAAGTAAGTGTGTAATGATTTAAACTTGCAGTTTGCGTCATGCCAATTGCCATAAATAAGCTTCTGTTATGTGTTAGCTACATTAGCTTTGGTGCTCCTGTGCAAAACCTATAAAGGAAACATTAGACATAAGGCATGTCTTTGCTGATTTAAGTTAAGGAGGAACTTTTTAAGGAGGATTTTTGCTGAACTGTTGCTTCAATGCCACAGGCAACAAAGGCCACGTTTGCACCTGGTTCATTACAGAAAAACATACCAATGTGCTTACGTTGCGGTGATAGGAATCAAGGGTCGTAATGTCTAACACAATTCTAAAACAACCGGTGAACTTACACATCCCTTTGGAGTTTTTAAATGTTACCTGAAGAAATAAGGTTTTTTGGGGGGCTATTTATTATCAGGGCCTTATAATGCCCTGCATGTACTCCTCCACCATAAATGGATTCAAAAATGAATTTAAAAAAAAAATCGTTTTAGGCCAAAACCTTTCTCAAAACAGTATTTCGGACATCAGGCAACATATTCGTAACTGTTTCGTGTAACAACTTTCTGTGAAGGAGCTTTTAGAGATATTAAACTCTTCGGACATTTGGTTCCTATCACAACCACCATGAACAATTCTGCTTCAGAAGGTTTCTCTAGAACAGAGCACTTCACATCAAACATCTCTGAATGAATTTGTTTATATCTCAACCAAAAGAGTTCTGTGCTCATTATTTCTTGTATTCTAATGGGTGATTCTGGTGGAATCTCTGAGGTCAATGGCAAAAGTTGGCAAACTTGAGCTTTTCATGAACCGGTGCCGCTTGCAGCGGTGGAATTTTCCATCATGGATTTATTGAAAACGATGAAATATGCAATTTGATGTCATCCGTTGTGTAAACGCAGCATAACATGCGTCTGGATAACCTGATCATAAGTGGATAGCGATAAACACAGGTGTGAACAGGATCCAATGCGTTTTGGTGGTGCACTGATACAGTCAACTAAACCACGTTTGGAAATGGTCAGGGGCGCATATGACCTCATAACATTTGTAGTGTGAACGCTAAAGTGCCCTGATGCGTCCTTGTCAGTGGTGAACAGCTTTAATTAGCCGCGTCATCACAGCAGAGGAAACAGCTTATTTTTGCTTTTTCATTCTCATTTGTTTGCAAATTGTGTAATCAGTGCATGCGATCTAAACATCACATGTGGATACAAGCCCTTACAAGGATTCACAACACATTTTTGTCTAGCAAATGCAGCGAGAGACATAGTAATTGTAGGGAACACGACATATTCGAGGCACTTGGAAATGCTATGTGTAGACAATTATATGTATTCCTGTCCACTTCTGATCACATCACTCCGGACAGATATTAATACCAACTGTGAACAAGGCCAAAGAGTGCACATTGCTGTTTGTGTGGGCATCCACCTCAGAGAATGGCTTTGACCTGTGTACTCAGCCTGGCAGAGTGCCGTGCCTTCATGACAGCCAGGTTATTATGGAAGCGTGATTGCGATTGATTCTCTTTTGATTCCACTATGTAATTATCACATAACCTCAGTGACCTGAGGTACTGTGCCAGATGACTTGTAATTGCTGTAGAGGGAGGTTTCTCTGGCCATGCAGGTTAAAATTTAGTAAAATACTGAAATTCTTTTGATAATATCACTTATTTTTGGCCATCTATGCTGTGGCATGTTTTTTTAGAAGTAAGATTATTCATATTTATTTCCTTCTAGGCAGTTGCAGTTCTGACAGCTACATATCCTGTAGGTCACATGCCGTACGGGTGGCTGACTGAACTCCGGGCAGTCTACCCTGCTTTTGACAAGGTAAAGCTTGCTTTCAAACACCTGTGCATGTATTTCTTAGTTGTTTTAAGATGCCTGTTAAGGCGTTCTGGCAAACATGCCAGCATTTTGGACTGATTTGAGACTTAACACTACATTTACTTTATTGTGAAACGTGATTAGACTGTCTTTCTGTATAAGAGAGTCATCCATATTCTGTAAATTAATTTCAGTTTCCTTCACATTCACATTGCCTTGTTTTTCTCTTGAGCCACTGCACTCAAAATGTCTGTGCATTGTTTCTGAGTACTGTGGGAACATCAAATAACTGCATGTATTATAAAAAAGCCATTTTCACACCAGTTAGATTAGAATAGCTATAAACCACGAGTGCCAGTTTATAGCACCCTTCAGTACATTATGCCATTATCATATTTATATTATTTCCACCTTATCTTTCTTCAGTAGAAAAAAAGGAAAAGGAAAAAAAAACATTCTTAACTTGTAATGAAAGTTAATGTAAATTTATTTTCTTTTTGGATCATTTTCTTTTGGTCCATTCATCGTGCAATTTTAACACAATGCAAAAGGTGATAAAAGTTTTATGCTTGACAGCGGTGAATTATTTAGTTAAAAACATCATCATAGTTTTTTTATAGCTTTTTTTAATGTGGCAGTACAGTTGTGCTAGTGTTCTTTTCAACTCGCCCTAGAAAAACTAAATGTTGTTTAACATATCATGTGTATGTGTTTATGAACACAGTGAGGTCAGTAGAGTTCATTGTGCATATGTAGGGTCCCACTAAACCATACGTTTTTCTTCCGAGTAGGTGGAGAAATTTGTTCCCATAACAATATACAGCAGACAAAACTCCTGTTTAGCATAAAAACCAGTCAGGGCTGTATATGAAGTATAATTTCCCAGCCTCCACCTCTGCATAGACCTGCTTTTTTTGGTGGCACCAGCATGTCTATGAATGCTTCCCTGCCATTTGACAGAGTGTAATATTTATGGATAAACAGAAATGAGGAGTGTCCCACAGGGTGAAACAAAGGGCTGCAGGCTTACTTTGGCAGAAGCATTCTTCCCCGTGAGGCCGTGATCTTACACCAATCTTTGAGCACCAGCAAGGTCTCTGATTAACTGATGCTGCATATTCATAAACTTGCACACAGTGAGTCAGCACAAGCCAGAGTAACAGGGAGAGAGGTTTGAGTCTTCAGCTGCTGACACCAACAAGAAAATCTAATTTACTTTTTACATAATTCAAAAACATTGTAGGGATGCACAGTTATATTGGAATCATTATTATTATTGGAAAATATGTGCTTTAAAAAAAAATTCCGGCATCGGACAGATGTTTAGGTTTGGCCGATATTTGATGCCGTATTTATTGATGCTCTTTCTACTGTGTTAAAAGTCTGCCTTATTTTACTGCCCAATTTTTTTTTCCAGAATGCAAAACCAGGTAAATATTTGATGACATAATAATTATACTGCATTTGTAACCCTTTAGAAATATTCTACTGCTGTTTTGTGTAGATATATTATCTATTTTGGTGATATATTTTTTATATTTTTGCATCAGTATCGACAGATATGTATGCGAAAAATACTGAATATTGATATCGGATCTCCCATATGAGTGCATCATACTTTAAAATTAGAACCTTTACTTTAAGGCTGGCTTTCCTTAGTGAAACTTTCATGCAACTTGTTGCTGGTTGCAAGCTACTTCAAACATTTTTTCCAGATCTGTACATTATGTGTACACTGTCCACATCTGTTGAGATCTTGACAGTTTCATTTGGAAATGCAAGCCTTTCAGAGATAAGTGTAGATAAAGTCAATGAATTAAAAAACTTTTGTGAAGCTCAAGGCAATTTTTAGAAGTTATTCAAGATTTTTCTTGACGTTGTTAGGCGAGATATCCTCGCATGTTTGCTGTCATGCATAGCTGTTTGTTTCCTGCGGGGGTGTTTTTGTTAAGGACCCATTTTGAAAGTTGCCCGCCCCTACAAGTCACACAAAAACAACGGTTTTTACTTGGTTATTTTGCATGTCAGTCAAACGGCCCTTTCCTGTCAAAGTAGGTGGTTCTTGGTCACACCAAGCCAGACACTCTGACAACAGGCAGAAGTCTGGCTTGTAAGACTGTTGTTCAGGTGATTGACGACCTTGCCTACTAATCTTGCATAAAGTCAATCAGAAGTACACTTAACAATAGTCATACTGCAGTCTCACAAGCAAAAATTCTAGCAGTCAGATAAAATATTTTAATGCAGGACAAAGTGCCATAGGCCCATTGCTGTGCAATTGGACTTACCAATATTTCAAGCAGTCCATACATGTGCAAGGCACAGAAAGGTAAGCTCAAGCGATTTTGGCAAGAGTAGGAGGAATTCCAGACTGCTGAAATGTTTCCTTTCAGAGCATGTAGCAGAATTTGGCTCATGTATTTTATGTCATTGATCAGCTCTCACTATTGATCAAATTAAAGATATATTGGCTGAGCAGCATTCACACATTTAGGCAGAAAATCCTATGATTCCAATCTATAGCTAATTGATCTTTCCATCCTTAGTGTCTGTTGTAGGCTGTTGTAATAAATTAGCCGAACTGATATTATTTGACATGATCACATGGTACGTTATTGGCATTTCGTTTGGCTGTTTCAGGTAAAGCCTCTGTCATTTCACTCAAAATGACTCTCCACTGCAACAGCTGCAACTAAATCAACTTGGTTGCAGCTGTTGCAGTCGAGGGTCTTTTTAAGTGGAATGCTGGGGGCTTTACCTTAAACAATGTAAGTGAAATTTTATTTCATGCAAGTTTCAGGCATCTAAAGTTATATAGAAATTTCACCATGAAAAGCCTAATGTACTGCTGTTTTGATGATCTAGTGTTACTTTTGTAATCCCTCTAATTGCTTTCTAGAACAACCCAAGCAACAAGCTGGTTAACACTGGCACGACAGTCACCAAGTCCCACATCAAGCGGTTTACGTTCGTTTGTCTGGCTCTGTCGATCACAGTAAGTAAAACCTCACCCTCCCTTTCACCCTCATCCTACCCTTCACCCTCATCATTCTGTCTGTGCAGGCATGATCTCACCTTCTTCAACGTCACTCCTGTAAAGCGCAGAACCTGCAAACCCCTATACCTGTGTGACGTCGCCATCGTTCTCTCTGACTTGACACAATTTTCTTGCTCCGTTCATTATTTTACCCTCTCTTTGTGTTTAATATGGGTTTGTTTAAGAGGAGAATTAGAAGAGAGCGATATATCAGTGCAAGATTTATTGGAATTTAATTCATAAAACAGTCATGTTGTCATATCTTACCATTTGAAAGTGCTGCCACTTAGAGCCACATTTTTCTCCATAGAAAGAATTTGCTTGTATTTTACGAATTTTACGAAGGATTTGTTGCACTAATGTTCTTAAGTAAACAGACAAATGACATGTTCACTAAGTATAAATTACAGATTTCAAGTACTAGGACTGATTCCTGGCCCTTATTGACACCTTAAGTGCATAAATTACACAACCACCTGGGTCATGGCTTTCACTGGCATGTCACTGTATAAAATCGAGATCTATTCTGCACATGTAACTGAATGTAACTGAATACATGAAGACGTGACTGTATAAGTAGAGACACTTAGTAAGTAGAGAGCTCTTAGGAGACAAAGTAAACAAAGCTGCATTTTCCTTTCCAGTTCACATATACATTACATGTCATTGTATCTACCATTCAAGAAGTTGTGAAATGTGAAGTCCCTTTTGTAGAAAACGTGTAATTCTGCGAGTTGTTAGGATTCGCTGCTTGATGTTGTCACAGAGTAAGCTCTTACTGGACTAACTAGAGTAACAGAGTTACTAGTTGGGCATATAGATACCATGTTAACAGGCTCCAGTAATACTGAAAGACAGACTTTGAGTTTAAATCTTTATTGTCAACATTCAAACTGTAACATCCAAAATAAAAAAAATGCTACTTGACGTCTATTATGAGCTTCAAATGTCTGTCTTTAATCTGGAGAGCTGCTATAAAATGTAATTAAACACCACCATTAGCTTGAAGCTGAAACACTCCTTACCCTGCCCCCTCCACTGAGACAGCCAATGAGAACAGTGGTAATTCGCATAAATCAACATCCAGAAAATGACCAGAAGAGTAAGTGACAAAATACATATAAAATAGTACAAAGACTGAATTAAGGTGTCACAGTTGCCTTTCAAAGAGCACACTTTGAAAGACAACTTTGTTAACCCTCTGGTGTCCACAAACTCACCCCATGCATCAAATGTATTGTTTCCATGTATGTTCCTCAATCTTTGCAACAATGCAACACAGAAATACGGTACGAACATTTCCTAAATCTGTAGAGTCACACTTTTGGAAGCCCTACATTCTTCATTCACTCGACATCAGAGACACACATGAAACGGTGTGCACAAAGTTGAGAGCTGCTGAAATTGCTGCAGCAGTTTTGGAAAGTAGCGACAAAGATATTGGAGCATTTTGATATAAAACATGGGTATCATGTTATATGCAAGTGCCTTTAAAGGTGAATTCAAGAGGATATGCAGGTATCAAGAAAATCCCCTTAGACACCAGAGAGTTAACTGATAAAGAGAGTAAAATATCTCTCCATTAGTAACTAATGGGACGGCATGTGTTAAAATAATAAAAAGGCTGCTCTCAGTGAGCTGTTACAAAGTATCATAGTATTTTGAGAACAGATGAAACACATTGTGTCGTCTTGTTAGCGACACGATGATGCAGTGTGAGTGACTTGTCTGAAGAAAAAGAAAGAACAACAGTAACGTGATCACCGATTTTACTTTAGTGGTGGTTTGTGTCTATGATGCTTGGCTCCACCTATCAGTGATACATTCCACGGTCCATGTGTTTTATGGCATATTTCAGAGCACAGATGTGGCCATATTGAAGCTTATGAGTGCAGCCTTTGAGTGGAGAAGTGCATCCTGACTGCCAGCTCGAGTGCTTTTAGAGTCTAGCTAAATGATTCATCATAGACGCTGCCTCAGAAGTTATCACTCTCATAGGATCTTCTCTGACCTAGTTAAAAGGCTAGGCACTGCTGCCCTGGAACAGTACTGTTAATCACACATTTTGTGTTTAAAAGTTAATGCATTTTAAAGAGAAAGTTTATGAAGAGTGAAAATGAACCTCTGAGCCTCTGTGCACCACATTACCTTTGCATTTAGCATAGCGCACAGCAAAACAGAGTTAGCTGGCCCTCTTGCTTGCCCACACGTGTCTGAACTTGTTTATTCATCTGCTCACGTTGTCTCTTCATCTGTACACGATTCGTACATTTTTTCCATTTTTCTACATGCTGATGGTTGTTTTTCAGGCTCTTCCCAGTAAGAAGTTCGCCAAATGCAGGTTTACTGGCTGTGAGAGCATAAACAGGAAGTAGCTTTTATCATGTGCCACGCACTGATGGATACTTGCTTCCAGATGTGTGCTGGGGTGTCATGTAAACAAGCACGCCAGGACTCTTACAACAGTACACTCTTATAAATAAATGTCCAAAAATGGCTCTTTGTTTGGATGTGCAGTTCTAAGGAGAACCTTTTGATCTTTTTGAACTTGTTAGTTCATATGAAACACAATTCACCATATTATATCATTTAAAAGACAGTTAAATTGTGATATTTCATCACAATATAATGACTTTTGCCAGCTTTTTTGTTTTCTTGATTACATCACCATGTACCACTCATTTCATTTCATTTACAAAAATGTGTCTTTAAAGCTGCACTTTGTAAGATTTGGGGATTTGGAGACCTCGCTGGTGGAAATGTGTCATTGCACGCAACATGTGTAAGAACACCTTGTTATGTTTTTTCTGTAAAGCTGCTTTGTGACAACGCCTGTTCTAAAAGGCGCTATATAAATAAACTTTGACTTGAATTGAAAATACAAATATAAGCATGTTATATGATGCTTATAACTGGATAAAACATTATACATCTCATAAGCATCCTCTGCTTATCATTTTATTACGCTAACACAAAATAAACAGAATTTCTTTAATGACAGATAAACTAAATTTAAACAAACAAGTCTTGTTTCAGACCAAAACCACTTGAACATAAATCAAGTCATACCTCCGAAGTCGTAAGTAGGAACTTTCTAGGAGGATTGAAGACAGCATTGATACATAAAGACTTATGACATGATCTGAAAAATCCCCTGTTTTTTCCCTTAACTCAGTGATGCTACTTCCTTCTGTTTTCACAAAAAATCTTACATAGTTCTGTTTTAAAGAATCAATCATTAAAAGGATCTTTTGGGAGCCAAACGTGATTCTGTTTGGGTTTGCTCCATTATTAAGAGTACTGAAAAAAGCATTCTCAAGTAGAGAGCATTGTGACTTGCACAGAAGTAGAAGTTCTTGTCCAAGAAATTAGTAACTCTGTAAGTAAGTAAATAGTCACTTACAGATAACTATAGGGATCCAAAAACAGGGTGTTTCAAAACCTGAACACGTGAACTGCATTGTTTCTCTCCTTTATGCATATGCATTTGTGGGTGGGCTGTGCAAAACGTAGGATGATTGTGCAAAAATGGATGGAGATATTGGAACTGTGACTGATGACACATTCCAAATGATTTATTAACATTTGGACCACTAGTGGTGGGCAGTTTAGCGAGGATTTTTGCCTTTTTTTTTTTTAATTGGGCATAAATTTGTGTTAGTGTCTCAAATGCTTCTTGTTGGGAGACTTCCTTTAGCACTGGCAGCAGTCATAGCAACTAGGGGGAGGCATGAGTCTGAAAGAATATTTAGCAACAAAATAGCATTATTTAAACACTCAGATGCGCAACTGAAAAGGCACCGTGCAAAATGTGTCTCGTTGTGTCCACAATGTGCTCTTGCAGACCGTGTTATTGTTCTGCAAATTCTATTATTTTCTTTTTTTTGCTAGAGCAGAATGACACCCCTGTGAAATGTGTCCTGAGAAATTACTTCATTTATTGACACCACTATCTCTTCCTTACTACCTTTCATCGTTCTCTTTAACTGCCTTGCACTTGTTGACTGCAGTTTCAGTAAAGCAGACTGTAATTTCAGGCATGTTGTGGGTGTATATTGCAGCCGCATCAAGGTACATTTTGTGCTGGACCTGTGCTTGTATGTACTCCTGGTCCTGAGAAGCAGACTCTAAGATTGTATGCCAGGAATAAGATTTATATTTGAAAATAATATTCAAAAGTCCAAATACTCAGCAAAATGACTAAAGTGCAGCAACTACAGTAACATCTAACATTGACAGTGGTGGAAAGGTGTACCTTTCATTTTTTCCTCTGGCATGTGTTGTTGTTTCTTAATGGGACAGCTTGTCTCAGCCAGTGGAAAGTCATGCAGTACTCAGTTAAAGGAATCTTCTAACAATAAGAGCTATAAAAAGCATGATTCATTACCAACTAAATGCCTGTTTGTAACATTGTGCCTGTGTTTGAAAATTTCTCTTCACATTGTGCAACATTCTGGATGATGGCAAAATCGGAAACATCTGCTGGATGGCTGTGCTGGCTATTCATAGGGTCACTGCGTGAAATCTCAGTGTTCGCTTCTCGTTGTTTCCACAGCTCTGTTTCGTGGTTTTCTGGACTCCACACATCTCCGAGCGGATCCTGGTGGACATCATAGGAGTGGACCAAGCTTTTGCTGAGCTCTGCGTTGCCCCGTTACGAATCTTCTCTTTCTTTCCGATACCAGGTGAAGCCTCTGCACAATCTTTCTCAAACTTGGACAATCAGACACATGAAGTTTGGGGGCATCTTGCTTTCTTTTGAAATTTAAGAAAGTCAAAACAGTCATTTACTACTTTTGATACCATAAAACAGTCATTTACTAAAACATTAGGCTTATTTGCAACACTCAGCTTCATATTCAAAGTGTGCTCCTTGGTATGAAGCACAAATTTTACGTAAATAATTATTTGACAATTAAAATTATTGTCAAATTATTGTTAAAAGCACATATTGAAAATATTTTCTCCCAAAAGTGGTTAAACAACTGAAAGGTTTGAGTGCTGTTGAATGTTAACATCCCAACAAGGGGATGAAATGTGTTGCATTAGACATTATTCTCAGCATATTACTATCACAAATTTTGGAACAAATGTTTACATGTGAGATACTGCTTTCCTTAAAATAAACCTGCTTAGTCTTTTAATATATGTAGTCTCATGGGGCCAAATGTGACTTTGTGACGAGTATGTCTGCAGGCGACCATGAGAAGTTTCGGGCTAAATGTGCATAGACTTAGGGTGGGAACAAACTGAGTGTAAAATTTCTAAACCAATCTAACACCTTGTAAAAGCACAGCTCAAGATAGGGGGTGATGGTGCACTCATCAACATTGTCCAATAGATTACAAGCCTGTCGTTAGCCCGTGAATGTACACGGTAGCAGTTACCCCCCAAAAAAAACTTCAGTTAGTCATGTAGATGTGTGTTTTGTGAGAACACATTACATACAGTAAAAAGAGGGGGTTACCTTTGTTTGCAGCAAACGAAAAAGTTTAACAGGTTTTTCCCAGATGTGTATTCTCTTCACAAGAGCACATCTGTCCCTGTGAGACTGTAATATATGACATACTGCCAAATGAATAGATGCTCATTTGTGTTGAAAACATTTTGAAAAGCTAGGTGTCCCCAAACATTGCATGGGCTCACAAATACATAAACCTCTTGTTTAAAGATGCTCCTAGACATGCTACAAAAGCTTGCTGGGAATCTGCACTTGTTCAGTGGACAGTTTGCCAGCAGTTGTGTAACTTCACCTAGATGATCCTGCTCAGGATGGCTAGAATGCCTGAGTCACGGTCCTGTGTTATGTAATCCAGTGGAGCTTAAGTGGTAGACTTTGGCTGTGTTAAAGGAGCCGTCCCACAAGGAGAGGTGAAGGAGAGGCAAAGGTCAATGATTATGGTCAAGCTTTCAGGAGCACGGTCATTAGAAGAGGGCTTGTGGAGGTTTCCTAATAGACAAAACAGAAAGAGATAGAAATAAAAACACAGAGTGAGGGGGAGAGAGACAGAGGGGAAAAGCGTAAGCGTGACATCAAGACAAAAAAGGACAGTGTGAGTCTTTTTGTGAGCGATGAGTGTGTGCCAGAGCTGTCATGTGTTTCAACTCTGTTTGATGGTGCAACTCAGCATGACCTGCTTTTACTGTTGCTGTGTGAAAAGTGACGGTGCGTGCTCACCTGACCGGTTGGCTCATGACCCTGAAGAAGACCTTCGTCCTGGCACCCAGCTCTGTACTGCGGATCATCGTCCTCATCACAAGCCTCATAGTGCTACCATACATGGGGTGAGTTGGCACCTCCTGCAGTTAAACTCCTTTTCATTGCTTTTGTACATTTATCACCTCTAGGCCTAAAACTGTTAAATAATATTCATCAGTTTCATTATTAGTTCATCAAATGTCAGCTTCATATGTTTTAATATTCTAATATTTTTAATTAGAAAAGAGCTGTGAAAAATGAAGAGATTTTAGATATGTCCAGAATGATGAACAGAAGCTACAAAAGAGTGGTCACCAAACCTGGTCTTGGAGATCTTCCTGTGGAGTCTAGTTGCACCCACAATCTGCCGCACCTGCTCCAGCTAATTAACTTATTCAGAAGTGCTTGATTGGCCAGATTGGGGCATTAGCATTAGGCAAGGAACTAAACTCTGCAGGAAGGCAGATCTCCAGGTGGAAGGTTGGTGACGACTACAGTAGATGATTCCATAATGATAAAAAAAAAGCTGTAAAATGTTGAACCTGTCAAGAAGTACAGCATATTATATAACATTTAATAACTTTCTGTAATTTCCAAAAAAAGATTAAAACCTCTAAAAATACATTTTTGCACCCAGTTTGTAGTATTTCAATCTGCTATTTTATAAAATAACGAATATTAATATGACAAGTGATTCTAAACTTTTTAAAGATATTGTATTTGTTATCTCAGGTGAAAATAAGCTCGGAACTCTAAATGAGAGAACTGCTCAAACAATCTTTCAAACAGCTTAATAGACTCTTAGGCCTAATTCACACGTACTTCATCTGTGTGGCACGAGCAACGCAGAAAGTCTTGCTTTTCATTTCAGCACTCATATTAACAAGTCAGAGCTTTCACACAGGCTACATGTGCGAAGCGGCAGAATCCCAGACACCGCAATAAAGTGATATTTAAAAAATAGACCTGGTGCTGATTTTGCCCGCATGCATTACACAGCAAAATGCACTAAAATAAGCCATGAAAATCAGTGAAAATTAAATAGAAAACTGTATACAAACTTAAAAATGCTATTTTTTAAATTAAATTAATTCCCGGATGGTCTACCAGGCTTGAAGGTTTTGCTTAATCACAAGTCAGAATGCTGTCGAGGACAAACAAATATACAGTGTACTTTCATAAATTATATTTTTGTTGAGCAGAGTGACTGATGTGACCATCTATTCTTCTGGAAAAAGGAATGTCTGTATAACTTTCTCGCATTCAAGCTGTAGCCGCATCACTCACGCCATGCAGAAACAGTATGTGTGAATGAGGCCTTAGTAGGATACTTAGCTTAAACTGGGTGTTTCTCAACTGACAGCTAATTTATGCCTTAATCAACTAATGAGCTATGGCTAATGGTTATAATGATTTGGTTATGGACACCGAATTTTATTGTGTTTTATTTCCTTGTTCTGCAGTCTGATGTGTCTCAGGCTTTGTGCTGTACTCCAAAGCCAGACTGTGAGGCTGATGTTTACACACAGTTACAACACCTGTTGTGGTTTTTACCCTACATTCAACCACTGTAGTTCAAATAGCGCACATAGGCATTCGCTTCTGAACAGGCTGTGGATCAAACATTCTCTGAAACAGTTTGTTTAAATAGAACATGTTGACAGTGTTTAAACATGTAGTGGTCTGCACGTTGTGGAGGGGGCCATTTGGAATAAGTACAAATATAGTTGTATACTCACCGCTTACTTGTTTGGAAATGGCTGCCATGTAATACCACTCAATGTCCACTTTATGAGCTCTATCACCTTTAAATAGGTGTACAATCATAGACTGTAGTCCATCTGTTGAACAGTCTGTCAGTCACCCTCTATCTCATTCATCCCTGGTTAGTTTCTGACCACGGGACGGCTGCTGAGATATTATTTGGGTGGTGGATCATTCTCAGCACAGCAGTGACACTGACATGACATTGGTGTTTTTTATGTAGTAGACATGTTGCTGGAGTTTTTAGACACATAAGTGTCATTGCTATATTGAGAGTGGTCCATCACCCAAAAATATTCAAACAAGAGCAGCTCTGTGGTCAGAAACTGACCACTATTGTGGGGCTGGAGGATGGCTAACACAAGATGGGCTACAGTCTCACCAGGAAGGTGGAGTTTCGAGGTAGGAGTTTCTAATAATGTGGCCGGGCAGTACTCTATTTCAGCAGATAATTGTCTACTTGACCAAAATTATCTAAGACTCATTATGTATCCTTAAATAGAAGAAGGGTGCAGTTTTAGTCACTAATCATAGTGCTACCAACACCATGAGATAAGAAAGTGTGTTTGAGTCTTTTTATGCTCGATTTGCCTTTACCTTTGCTGTAAATAACTGTTTATGCTTCAGGGTGCATGGAGCCACTCTAGGGGTTGGATCGCTGTTGGCTGGCTTCCTTGGAGAGTCCACAATGGTAGCAATTGCAGCCTGCTACGTCTACCGGAAACAGGTAAGAAAAGACTGCCAGATGTGTTTAGGTGGTGGATCAGGTTTGTTTTCTGCAACTAAAGTTACTTTAAGTCAACTCACTAAACCATAATTACAGGTTTGGCATGCCTCTCATGGTGGCAATTGGTGAAGTGACCAAACTATGACTAACATGACCACAAGATCTGTCCCATTATACAGCACAGGAAGAAGGAGACCACATACACTATATTTACAAAAGTTTGTAGACACTTCCTCTAATCAGCTACTTTAAGTTGCACCCATTGCTGACACAGGTGTTCATTTGCACACGTACAGCTTATATAATTCCCATAGAAAAGCACTGACTAACAGAATAGGATGCTCTGGAGCAGCCACACATGAGTCGTCATGGACGAGGCCCCTCTAATCAGGTTAGCAATGTTTCCTCAAAGCTGATCAGTAAGAATAACTTTATTGATTTGCTGTGATCCCTCTAAGGAGGACCCCCCACAGCACATAACTGCCAGGTCCCCTCACTGTAGAGGTCAAGCTTTGAGGCCTGTACTGTTCTCTTGATGTACATGACACATGCACTCACTAACTTGAGGAGAATATGGTGAAGGATAACTCATCTGACCATATCAACTTTGTCCACATCTTTGTTGACCAGCGTCTGGTTTCCTCACCACTGAACTCTCAAATATGCATTCATCTTTGTAATGAGGGGTTTATGCACTGCAACCCTACTATAATATCCTTCTCTATACTGAAGAGATGTATCATTTATATAATATATATAATATACAGAAGAGCTTTGTAAAGCAATAACTAGGCTCAAACCCAATAAATCCCCTGGTGCAAATGGAGTCCCATCCAAATGGTACAGGACATTTAAGAAACAATTAATACCAAGTTTATTGGCTACATACAATTAGAAGGGGGAAACCCCACCCTCTTGATAAGCTGGATTGCAGGTCTCATATACTTATTTCCATAACTAAATATAGTTCTAAATTGTTTACATCTATAATAACAAGGAAGGTAGAAATATTATTACCACAACTTACATCATTGGATCAAACAGCATGTATAAAAGGAAGGCAGACACACAATAATATATGTTGCACATTACATGTTATGTTCCACATACAAAAATATAAGATACCTGCCGTTATAAAAAGGCATTTGACTTGGTCATCTGGGCCTATGTGTATTTAGTATTAAAAAAAAGTTTGGTTTTCATGAAAATATTGGATAGACAAACCGCAAGAGTCAAGGTGAATGGAAATTTGTCAATTATCTTTATGCTGACAAGAGGTACGAGACAAGGGTGCTGTTTGTCACGTCTTCTCTTTGCATTATATATAGCACTGCTCAGCCAATTGATATACAGAATATTAATTTGCATTAAGTAACCTTGTGGTATCACTTTCTATTTTGATGGCATCCCTTAAAATATTTGGGCCTCTCTCAGATTATAAAACTAATGTACAAAAAACACAAGTATTAGCATTTAATTATGATCCCCCACAACATGTTAAGACCAAATATGTTTTGAAGTGGCAAACGAAAGCAATAAATTACTTAGGGGTATATCTACCAAAGAATCCTGAAGACCTTAGGTCTATGAACTATGACGCATCGGACTAAATAAATGGACAAAATAAAAATGACTTATCAAGATGGAACTTAACCCCTTTCCTAAGTTTAAGATGTAGGGTAGAATCAGTTAAGATAACCCTTTTACCTAGATTCTTTTATTTATTTCAGGCTCTACCTATAGAAATACCACACAGTCATAGTGGGATGAACGTATCTCTAGATACTTACTAGATACAAAACTCTTCAGTTGCGGAAAAATAAAGGTGGGCTCACATTGCCATGTTTTAGAGATTATATTGCAGCACAGCTAAGAATTCTCACGCTCTTTTAAAGTCTTTTAGATCTTTTCCTCTTGCCATATTGATCCGAAATGGAGGTCAGCTTGGCCTGCTCAGCATTTTATACATGTCACAGAACTCTTACATTTTATTCCACAGATTTGTGCCACTTTAACCCTACAATGTTAAAGTAGCCAGCAATCAGCCATCTTTTTATTCTTCCACACCCATCCAGTTAACTATTTAGTCACGTATCAAGATGTTGCAGGTCTCCCAGAGCTTAATGAGATATTTATTTCCTCCACAGAAAAAAAAGGACTGTGATGGAGATGTGGCAATTGAAGGCGAGGGCTCCGCCCCCATGAACGAGGTCCGATCCGGCCGGATGGACGACATCGTAGAACTGCGAGAGGAGAATGAGGATGAGGAGGAGGAAGAGTGAGCAGAGGGTTCAGTTCAGTACACCCAGGATTTTAAGGGACATCCATGACAAGTGCATTGGAATTATTACTTGTGCGTCCCTGCTGGTTACAAACGAATTACACATTCTGGGCTCTTGCAAGGAACGCGCTGGGGGGAACCAGGGAATCCTCTTGCTTGTCCAGGGCAGTTTTAATCGCTTACTGCCCCCTGCTGCTGCTCTTTCCCCCTGCCAGAGCCCCAGAAAGCCCTTTGCAGTTTGTGCACACAGAAAACGCTTAAAAGAGGGAGCTTTAGTTAGAAAACTGCAAAGACAGAAAGAACGCAAGTGTCTGTCTTTGTGTTAGATATCATTAAATATCTGTACACACGTAGAAACCCACCTAAAGGTCTTCCAGCTGTCATCAGGAATCTCCGGGTGCAGGACAGTGAAGATAATTGATTTGTACCAAAGCAACTGACGCACACTAATTGCTTTTACTCTAATCCTCTGAGCTCTACTGTGCTGCCGTCCTTACACGTTATGAACCTTGACAAAAAAAAAAGAGAAAGCAAATACTAAAATGCAGTGACTTCATCTGCTTGGAATGTACATATCTTTCATTGTTGTTGTTTTTTTTTCTTTTCTTTTCTTTTTTTTACCTTGAATATACTGCAGAAGGAGAAGAGAGGATTTTATGTTCTGGGAGCAGGCACCTCTCAACCCAAATGTTGCTGCACAGCTACGAAAAACCAGTGAAATCTTTTATCAGATAAATGTTCAAAAAGAGAATGAATATATATATATTACACAGATTTTTATCAGATTTAAGTGTGAATTAGAGTAATAATAATAATAATAATATAATATGACCTGATGAAAAAAAATGGCTTCAGAGTGACAGGTTGGTTGGAGTTTGCAGGCCATTTTAGAGGCACTATTTTTTTAACATGCTACGTCATAGGTGTATAAAATCTGGTACATTTTTTGTATGGGTGACGTTGTGAAGTCTGTAAATGGTGGGGAAGGGAGGGATAATATTGGTGTGTGTTTTCATGATCATGTCTGTTGCAGTATTTTTAAGAAAAAGAAAACAGAACGTATTTAATTTGGGCATTTATTTTGTATCTCAGGATGTACATTGCGGAGAACGATGCATATAAAAAGTATCTTGAAGTCCAGTTGCTGATTTTTCTTCTATCCTGTAGTACGAGTTTCTCTATCGACGATACTGCACAAGTATTTATGATGTCTACAGCATCTGTTTCTGTTTGATTTAGTTTGTGGTGAAGAGCAAAGTCTGGCCAAGCTCCTTTTGTATTAAACGAAACAGCTGAAACAGTAGAAGTTCCTGTTTTTTTTACTGTCAAATAAAGACAAGGACAGCATTATTCCACAGTGATTAAAGGGTGACAATGTGGTTCAGAAAGTTGCGTTCTGTCCTTTATTTGTGTTTTCTCAATGGTTGCTGCTAATTTTCACTTCAAGGAAAGCAAAAGTGTTAGAGTTGGAGGAAATGGAGTGCTTATCATTATCAGACCCTGGTCATAAATGTAAGTAAACATGTTTCATTCTCCATAGCAGCCAACTGAAGGCCTGTAGGGCAGCATCCTATAAGGATTCCCAACCCTGGTCCTGGAGAACCCCCTGTCCTGCACATTTTAGTGTTTCCCCTGCTCTCAAAACACCTGATCCAACTAAACACCTCACGTCAAGCCCATTCAGGACTTGAAGTAGTTGGGTTTGGAGCCAGGAAAACATTACATTATTTTAATTAACCCTTATTAATCCCACAACAGGGAAATTTTACCTTCGTATTTGACCCATCTGTGTAGTGAAACACCACATACACACTAGTGAACACACACACATTAGGGGGCAGTAAGTAGACTTGCCCAGAGCGGTGGGCAGCCCTATCCACAGCGTACTGGGGAGCAGTTGGGGGTTAGGTGCCTTGCTCAAGGGCACTTGTCATGTACTGTCAGCTCAGAGGATCGAACCGGCGACCGGTCAAAAGGCTTGTTCCTTAACCTCCAGCCCACGACTGCCCCAAAACCACTGTGCGGTTGCATTGGCCGCGAATCGGACCCAGGTCTCCCATGTGGCAGACAAGAATTCTACCACTGAACCACCAATGCAAGGACAAATGAACAGGGCAGAGGGCATCCAGGACCAGGACTGGAAACCACCGCTTTCCAGGAATGCTGTCCTATAGACCTTCAGTTGGCTGCTATAGAAAACAAAACATGTTCACTTCGTTTATGATTACTTGTTAGTGAAAAGAATCACATTCACAATTTTTTTCAGAAGTTCATAGCTTTACATTCACTATGTATTGTTTATAGTCATAAAGTATATAGTGGTTTTAAATAAGGGGAATACAATTCAGCTGAACTGTGGAAGAACGGATTATTGTTATGAATGGGTTTGAATGCTCATTGTATAATTGTTTCATATTTGAACTTTTTTAAAAAACATCTCAACTTGTCAAATAATCATACAAGCCTAAATGTAACATCTTACATGTGTTTGTGTATATCCTAATACATTTATGTGAAGATGCATAAATCAGGGGGCCTACAGTTTTGGAAACTGAAGACAGAATGTAGAAACTGTAGCCAGCACTCTTACCTGTTTACCAACCATATTACAATAAGGACTATCACGACTGGCAGATGTCTGAAAGAAACGCTACACTTCTAATCAGCCCATGGTGCATTACACTAATGCCTTCTGGGCCTAGACTTGTTGAAAAGTAGCCTCCATGGTCATTAAAGTAATTTGGGAGCTGATTACACAGCAAAGGAAAATTATTCAGTGCCAGCCCCTACCTGTATTAAAGGGGAATTCCACCATTTTTTCAAAAGTTCTGCATTATTAAAATATAAATAATGATGGTAAAATAGAAGTTAATTTGATTTAAAGAAAAAAAAAACCTTTTCTTTAGGGACTATTTTACCCTGAATTTACCTCTACCACCCATACCGCTATAAATAGATTTTAAAAATATGTGTTTGGCCGGAGCCTAATCTCAAAGCTATTGTAAAACAATGTCTCAGGCATCATGCAACCTATTGGTAATCATTTCATATAACATTTTTATGTGATATAGCTTTAAGAGACATTAAACGCTTCAGACGTCTGGTTCCTATCACTACCACTGAGAACAATTCTAACTTAGGAAATTTCTAGAATGGTGCATTTCAAATCAAAGCAGTCTCAACGACTTTGTTTATATCATAATCGTTTAATTATGCAGAAATTTGACCAAATCATCAGAAGATTTTAAGTGTTTTGAGTCATTTCTATTGGTCTACTGATCATATGATATAAATGTTTACACAATGTAATGGGCAGCATGCATTTTCAAAATGCTGTTTTCCAAAATACAAATAAGAAATTATAAAATAAAGAACAAATTGAGTTGCAAAATTGTAATAGTACAGCAAAACATATGTTTTTCATTCTCTCACTCTCTGGCCTTCTCTCTATTATAGTTTTAGTGAATAGGGGTGCAGATGTGTATGGGCTATGTTGATTATAGACCAAGGATTTACCTTTAGCATAAGAACAAGGAGTATGCTCAGTCTTACTGATTGAGTTAAGCAGAATTTTTTTAATATTATAGGTAGAATTCCCCTTTAAGAAGGTCCAGATGTGCTCTGAAACAACCCTGAAGAGCTTTGATAAATGCCATACTGCAGTCTTAACATATTCTAATCAATTGTAATTTAATTCAGTAGCTGCAGACTGAGGTTTTGTCTTTCCCCAATGGACAGCAAATTCACTTATGTTTGTTATTTGACCCTAATGACCAGATTAATTTGAAATCATCCAGTTGTCTCTGGACATCAAAAGCCACATTATTGACCTTTCAGATCTCTAAAGGCTCAAGAAAGCTAGTGATGAAGTGGCACCCTCTGCTGTGTGACTGTAGCTCTGCATTAACATCTGCCCATTCTGAACAGAGGGGAACGAAGTGTGCCAGGCGTGAGCACGTCCACCCGGTAACACAGACACTCTTAGAGCTGGCACTGTGCCAGGAGCTCCATTTTAGCCTGGAGTAACCAGAGAAGCTCTGTACTATCAACAACAGAGTGTCCTCCTTCTAGGCTTCACGCTGATGTGTGGATCAGTTTGCATGGCAGTCATGTCCTTTAACACGTCCTGCTAATCTAAATCGAGCTCACACTTTCGACATGTTTGTGGATTGTTTGTGGATTGACACTGTAGCTACTTGGCAAAGCACCATTTATGTAGTTTCCACAGTCCTTCGTGGTAGCCAGGTACACTCTTAAAACAGATGGTTTTTCATGGGTTCTTTAGTAAAGGGAGTGATCCTATTTAGAACCGTGAGTTCTATATAAAGCCATTTCATGCTTAAATGGTTCTTTGCATGGTAAAATGGTTTTTCAGACTGATGCCGAATATGTTGTATATGGTTCTATATAAAACCTTTTTGGCTTCTCATGTTATGATGTCAAGCTTGTAACAATAGAAGAACCCTTTTTGGTGCTGTATATAACCATTTTCAAAAAGGTACTATATGACACATTCTCCATCAATCTGAAGAACATTTTCACCATGCGAAAAACCATTTAAGCATGAAACGGTTCTATATAGGATGCATGGTTCTAAGTACAACCATTCCCTTTACTAAAGAACCCATGAAGAACCTTCTTTTTTAGGAGCATACTCCATCCAGGCAGGTATTAAACAGATTAAATACAAATCAGTATGTCAACGCCAGAAGTGAGTAGAGTAGCCTAAATTCATACTCAGGTGTTGTTACGTGAGTGAAATAATGTCTTAAGTAGAAGTAAATGTTCTCTCAAAACAACAACTTGAACAGAGAAGTTCCTAATAGAATTGCAGCAGAACTTCTTCGCACATGAAGCATCTATCAGCAGAACTGAAGCTTGTTAGAAGCTGTTCTTCTCTTTTTAATGCACTCTTCTTCTAAAATACAGTGATAAACCAGCAAGCTGAAGACCTTTTTGAAAATGGTTCTATGTAGCACCAAATAGGGTTCTGCTTTTGTTACAACATCAAGCTTGTAACAATAGAAGAACCTCTATGGTGCTATATAGAACAATATACAACATAATTAAGCATGACATGGTTCTTTATGGAACGTATGTTCTAATGAAACTTTACCAAAGAATCCATGAAAAAAGTATTTAGTCACTACCTGATGCTGATTGTCACTGTCTTAGCAACACCTTGTCTCTCCAAAGTAGTACATTTACAGAAGGAGTAAAAAAACATTCTTACATAACAGAGAATTTCATCAATTTTCCAAAATTTCTGCATAATTCAATGATTGCAATGTAAACAGAGTCTTTCAGAGCGTTTTCATATAAAATGATGCACTGTAGAGAAACTTTCTTTACAGTGGTGGTGATGGAAACCTGGCATCCTAAAGTCTACAGCAGAAATATAGCCATTTTATTCACTATCCAAAACCACCAGTGAATCTACACATGCCTTCTGAGTCTTTATATGTAATGTTGATGATGGTAAAATAGTGGAAAATCCAGAAACTATGTTTCTTTGGGGACTATTTTGCCTAACATGCCCTGCATGTACCTCTCTGCCCTTCATATATTTTAAAAACACATTTCAAAACTACCTCGAGCATCAGGCAATGTTTTCGTAAGCATTTTGTGTAATAGCTTTCTGTGAGGGAGCTTTCAGAAGCATTAATTGCTTAAGATGTCTGGTTCCTATCACCACCATCATCTTAAACAATTCTGACTCAGTAGGTTTCTTTAGAATGCTGCATTTCACATCAAACCACTCTGAATTTTATTTCTTAAAGAAATAAAAATAAAAAAATAGATAAAACATAGCACAATTTATGGAAGTCTTTTGGACCATTTCTACTGGTCCATTCATCATGAAGTGTTCACACAGTGTAATGGGCAACTGACATTTTCAAAAGGTGTTTTAAAAAAACAATTAAAACAAATACAATAAAATGAAGTTTTTGATATGACAGTGAAAATATGTTTTTCATTCTCTCGCTCTCTGGCCTTTGAGGTTTGATGAACAGGGGCATGGATGAGCATGTGCTAGAAGTGTAAGGTTGATATTATTAGACTCAGGATTTATATTTAGCACAAGAACCACCTGAACAGTCCAGGAATAGACTATAAAAATGGTTGACCCGCCTCCTTTAATCCCTCCTGTCCAGGGCACTGAAGGCCACAGTGTGCTATACGGTAGAGTTTGTTCACAGTGAGGGTCATGGTTCTAGGTTTGCCCTTCTGCCCACTTGGCCCTGGGACAAAACCCCTTAATAGATAGTGCCAACACAACCCTCCCTCACTCTCTCCCTCTCTCTCTCACTCACCCTAGTGGCCCCTCTCATGCCTAAACATGGCTCTCTGTCACTACATGCTTCAGGGAAGCCGACGTGCTCCTCAC